GAAAAGAAATTAACCAGGTGTATGGTGGTGGTGTGTGCCTGTAGTTCCAGTACTTTGGGAGGTGGAGGCGAGAGAACTGCCTGAGCCCATAGGTTCAAGACCTGCCTGGGTGACTTGGTGAGACCTCGTCTCTACAATAAATAAAAAAATAAGCCAATAAAATAAGCGCACACCTGTAGTTCCAGCTATTTGGGAGAGCTGAGGCGGAAGGATCACCTGAGCCCAGCAGGTTGAGGCTGCAGTGTCCATGAGCATGCCACTGCACTCCAGCCTGGGTGATGGAGTAAGACTCCAACTCAAAACCAAAACCAAAAAACACAGCAGCTGTGATTGGTATATGTTATCAGTGCCATATTCCAGGCACTGAGCTAGACACTCAGTGGGAGGGCTTTTCTGCAGTCCTCTGTGCCTCTGTGGTAATCTTGGGGCTGAATGTGATTATGCTCTGACCAATGCCAGCCAAACATTTTGGAGGGAGGGGAGAGGGTAGATGGACGGTAGTTTCAGGAGGGTGACCAGTTCCCTCGTCTATACACACATGACAATACCACCTCCCTCCTCCATGGACTGCTGCATGGATTAAAATCCCCTGCACACTGTCTGGTCTATACAGCAAGTGCTCAATAAATAGCAAGTGTTAACCCTATAGCACATACATCAGATACTCTTGGTTCTAGCCCTTTTGTTATTATTATTATTATTTTTAGAGATGAGGTCTCACTCTGTCACCCAGGCTGGAGTGCAGTGGCACCATCAAAGTTGCAGCCTCAAACCCCTAGGCTCAAGCAATCCTTCCCTCTCAGCCTCCTGAGGGTCTGGGACTACAGGCACACTCCACAGTGCCTGGCTCTGGTGCTAGCCTTGACTCTGCCATTATTAACTAGTGTTGGGACTCTGGGTATATTTCTTCCTCCCGTGGGCCTCAGTTTCCTCATGTGCCCCTTGGGGATGTGTACTCACTGTTCTGAGGTCTGTCTTACAGTTGGGAGCGTTGGGAGTCTCTAAGGCTCCCTAGTTCCATCTGGTCTGAGGACCCTGTCATACCCGCTTCTGCCACTGGGGGTCAGCACTAACCCAAAGATTGGGCTGAAAGACCAGGCACATGCAGGATGGAGGACAGGGAGGGAGGGAGGACCCCGGTTGAGTGGAGATGGGGTGGGAAGGATTCCCGGACGGATCTCCTCTTCACCTCCTCTCCCTCCAGCCATGATGTCTGTCCTTCAGCTTTAACACTCCTCTGTGAGGTGGGGTGGGGGTGGGGGATTAGGAAAGGCAAGAGTTTTGGAGCTGACTGAGAAGGAGCAATTCCACTTCCCGGTCCCCAGAGTTTCTTTAGCTATAAAATGGGCAAATGTTCCCAACCTCACAGGGGAGATAACAGGAGTCTGAGAACCGACCCCAGAGCCTGGCTCTATAAGGAGTTTCTTTCTTCCCCTTGGTGCAGAACACCCTTGGGGGACGGGCTATCTCCCAGACCAGTGGGCTGTGTGAGCCCCTCAGCGGAGAAGTGGGACCCCTGAGGCAGCAAGAGAAGCGAGTGGACTCAGTGGAATTCCCACCCATCTTTTCTTCCTGCAGGCAGGCCTCCCACCAGTGACCACTCAAGAGGTACCCATGTGCCTTCCTGTGTGGCCTGGGCTGCGATGCTTAGGAGGGGCTGTGAAGACCCTCAGAGGGAGTGTTTGGGAGGGGGGCAAGTCTTTTCTGGATGCTCTAACACACAGTTAAGTTCTCCCTGGGTTAGGTGCTGGCCTCCTGGAGAAAGAGGTGTGGAAACCTGGTCTGCCCTAGCCAGCCTCAGGGGTCCGGGAAGCCACCGGGAAGTATGTGGGATTCCAGTGCCAATTCTTAACCCCCATCTCAGAGCTCCCCTTCTCTCAGTAAGTCCAAGTGGGGTTCTGTTGTCAGGATTGTGTGCATGGAGGTGGCTGTTACTCAGATGGGTAGGAACACTGTGGTTAAGAGTCCCAGATTTACAAAACAGTAACTCTATTGTTTTATTTTATTTTATTTTGAATTGGAGTCTCACTCTATCGCCCGGGCTGGAGTGCAGTGGCACGCTCACAGCCACCGCAGCCTCGACCTGCTGGGCTCAGGTGATCCTCCCGCCTCAGCCTTCCAAGTAGCTGGAACTATAGCCGTGTGCCACCACGCCCAGCTAACTTTTCGATTTATTGTAGAGGCAAGGTCTCGTCAAGTTGCCCACGTTGGTCTCGAATATGGGGCTCAGGCAATCCTCTTGCCTCCACTTTCTGAAGTACTGGGATTACAGGTGCGAGCCACTGTGCCTAGCAATACAGTAACTCTTAAAAAAGAAGAGAAAGTCTGGTGTGGCGGCTCACAACCTGTAATCCTAGCACTTTGGGAGACCAAGGTGGGAAGATTGCCTGAGCCCAGGAGTTCAAGACCAGCCTGGGTAACATTGCAAGACCTCGTCTCCACACAAAAAAGAAAAAATAGTTGGGCATGATGGTGCATACCTATAGTCCCATCTACTTGGGAGGCTGAGGCGGAAGGATCACCTGAGCCCAGGAGGCCAAGGCTGTGGTGGACCGTGATGATGCCACTGTACTCTAGCCTGGACAACAGACTAAGACTTTGACTAAAAAAAAAAAAAAAAAAAAAAAAGCCCAGTTTTGGAGTTAGGCCAACCAAATATAAAGGTTCACACACACACACACATGTACACAGCAAACCCACATGGAACAACACACCCAGGGGCACACAGACAGTCTTCGGGACAGAGATGTGTACTTGGGCTCACCACACACAGAATGTGTGGATCCAGAGTCAGAACTCCCCATTCCCAGGCCATCATCTGAGGACCACATGCAGTACACACAGGTGTAGACCCTGATACACGCTCACCCGTGGGACACACAGGGGAGAGACCCTGGCCAGCCCCTCAAAACCACCACGAGGACTTGGTCAGCCAGAGGCATGATTTGAAAACCTCTGTAGGATAAACTACTCCATTTCTTTACCAATAAATAGCACAAAAATAACAATAAATAGAAGGGAGGAGGATTGCCCTGGACTAAAATCTAGTTGGGAGACATGGCGGCCAGACGCACTCTGTGGACCCCAGATGGATTCTGATTTGTAACAACTGAGTTATAAAAAGGTAATTTTGAGATAACAGAGGAAAACTGAACATGAATTTGACATGCGGTAACATTAAGGAATCGTTAACGTGGCTGAGTGTAATGACTGTGGTTACATTTTTTTTTTTCAATTCGAGAAAGCAGGATTTATTGAGAGGACAGAAAAGCTCCCAGAGTGGTAGGGGGCCTTGAGGGGATTGCCCTGTGGTTACATTTTATTTATTTACTTTTTCTGAGTTGGAGTCTCACTCGGTCACCCAGGTGGAGTGCAGTGGTACACTCACTGTTACCCCAGCTTCGACCTGCTGGGCTCCGGCGATCCTTCCACCTCAGACTTCCAAGTAGCCGGAACTACAGGTGCGTGCTACCACGCCCGACTAATTATCGATTTATTGTAGAAATGATGTCTCACCAAGTTGCCCTGGCTGGTCTTGAACCCCCGGGCTCAGGCAATCCATTTACCTCGGCCTCCCAAAGTGCTGGGATTACAGACTAAGCCACTGAGCCTGGCCTGTGGTTACATTTTAAAAAGCCCTGTGCGTTACAGATACACCCTGTATGGGTAAAAGGATCTGATGTCTGGGGTTTGTTTTACTGCAGCAGAAAACAAAAGTAGGGGACAGATGACCCAGGAAGGGCGAAATGACTGTGAACATGGAAGGCGGGGTTGGAATCACCACCTGCTCTTCAGTGCATGCCATTTGACTTTTCTTGCCTCTTCTGTGTATGTTCAATTTTTTTTTTTGAGCCAAAGAAAACCATCCTCACTCATTCCCCTTCCTCCTGCTCCGGCTTTAGCACCTGCTTTTGTCCCCTAGCCTCTAGGGCAGGAGAGTTGGATAAACTGAGTCAGGGAGCACAGAGGAGCATAATCTCAAGCCCCAGAGAGGAGAGCCCACCCAGCCGGCAAGGCTCTGCTTCTAACTTCTCACACTAGCCAGCAGCGTGGGCATCACCAACTCAGAGGCACAGAGGGGATGAGCGACCCCCTGAGAGACACAGGTAGCACGTGGCAAAACTGGACCCCAAACCCAAGTCCCAGCTGGCTGCCTCTGGGAGGTGGCGGGGCTAGGGACAGCACAAGGGTCCAGCTCAGGGGCTGGAGTCTTATCCAGAAAATAACACCCATCACGGGCAGTGGGGCAGGACTTGCGGGGTGATCTGCAGCCCCGGCAGATGCCACACCTCCTTTCCAAGCAGTGACGACTGAGGCCCCTTTACTATCCTGAGGGCCCGTCACACCATGGATCTCCCCAGAGACCAAGCTCTCAGGAGGTCCTCAGACGCTCCCTGAGCATGTCAGGTGGTACGGTGCCTGTTGAGAGGTGCGGGTTCAAGGCTTTTGTGGGTGAGGAGACCCCAGTCCAGAGAGGGGGTCCTGCCCAGGAAAGTCTAATGCTTCCTTTCTGCATGCCAGGTGCACATCTGGGCACTGTACACGCTAATGTCTGCTCCTCACATCCCTACGGCGGGCATCCTCCCTGTTCCCGTGGTACAAGACAAAAGGGCCCAGGTATTGGGATGGACGCTGTCTGGAACCCTGCAGCTGGCCAGGGGCTGGACCGGGGCTCCAACCCAGGCAGCTCGGCTCTGAAGCCTGCCTGTCTTCTCAGTCAAGCAGTTCTGCAGGGCCACAGGGCGCTTCAGTGGCAGAACAGGTGCCGACTTTCACTCCTTTCTCCCTCTCCAACTCAGTCCAGTTCAACTGCAGTCATTTTTTGGTTTGGTTTTGTTGAGTCAGGGTCTTACTCTGCCACCCAGGCTGGAGTGCAGTGGCACGATCACGGCTCACGGCAGCCTCAGCCTCCTGGGCTCAGGTGATCCTTCTACCTTAGCCTCCTTAGTAGCGGGAACTACAGGTGCATGCCACCATGCCCGGCTAATTTTTAAAAATTCTTTTTAGAGATGAGTTTTCCCTATGTTGCCCAGGCTTGGCTTCCCAAAGTGCTGGGATTACCGGTGTGAGCCACCGTGCCTGGCCTCAACTGAAGTCACTTTAACAGTGGGTTCTGAGCTGTATCCCAGCTCTCCTGCCCTCCACAGCCTGGCAGGTTCTTCTGCATACGGCCTGGTTGCACCCCTGGGTCCCTCGCCAGGTCTCTCCCCAGGGCCTTCTGAACCTGCAACCGGCTCTAGCCCAGGCCTGAAACCCTCTCACAACTCTGCAGGACACTCAGGACAAAGGTTAACTCTTTTTTTTGAGTTGGAGTCTCACTCTGTCGCCCAGACTGGAGTGCAGTGGCTGCTCCCAGCCACCACAGCCTCGACCAGCTGGACTCTGGCGATCCTTCTGCCTCAGCCTTCCAAGTAGCTAGAACTACAGGTGCGCGCTACCACGCCCGGCTAATTTTTTCGATTCATTGTAGAGATGAGGTCTCACCAAGTTCCCCTGGCGGGTCTCGAACCCGTGGGCTCAGGCAATCCACCCACCTCAGCCTCCCAAGGTGTGGGATTACAGGCTGAGCCACTGAGCCCGGCTAGGTTAACTCTTTTTAGCAAGATGTCTTCGGGATTCTTCAGGATTTGGTTCCATTGAGACCTTTTCACCAATCTGTCCCACATACCTTCCCCAAAAGAGCTAAAAATGATGGCTGCTATTATATTACATATATCATATCCATCTTGCAGCAAGGTCTGTCCCTAGCACGGCAGCTGCACTCCCCCCATGGTCTGTTAGGACTCTCGGGTGGCACTCACCATGGGGGCCCCGCGGTGGCCAATGAGGGCGGGCCTGGGGCCTAGGTCCTTTTTCTCCATGATGCAGGGCGAGGAGATGGTGAGAGGGACCAGGTAGAGGGCGAACACCACGGCGAAGAAAGTGCAGAGAATGGTCACCTGGGAGGCTGTAGATGTGGGCATGAGGCCGCCTGGCGAGCTGCTCTGCTCCCGCCAGGCCCAAGCGTGAACAGCCTTGGGTAGGATGTGGGTGAGATACCAGCCCCTCGGCCCCCATCTTTCACGACCAGGTGTACCGCAGGCAGCCCTCATTCTTGCTGGGGAGGTGAACCCGCCTCTAACTCACACACATGTGCACACACAGAGACATGGAGGAGGAACACAGTGCGGGGCCGACCAAGACTGCCATCCCCTGTGGGGTCTGTGGGTTACCCTGAGCCAGAGTCACTCATGCTGAGCATGAGGGCCACCTGGTAAAGTCCAGGTGAGGGCAGCACAAACCGGCCCCGGTGCCTGCAGGGGTTGGGAGGGGCAGTCGTACTCACAGGACCGCTCTGCGCGGGCAAACTGTCCTGCCACGATCCAGGAGAGCACAGTGACTGCAGCCAGGGCCCCCACATGCAGGAACGGCGCTGTGCCCTGTGTGTGTGGACAGGTGAGGGGGACCGGTGACTTCCAGCCCTGCCCAGGCCCTCTGGTCACCAGTGTCCTGACAGCCTACCTCTATCATGGGGCAGGCAACCCTGTCTCCACTGCCAGCTGAAGACACTGGGGGGCCCAGGACCCAGGCTTGTAGCATCCTCCCTGCCCCTGACCCACTGTGACCCTGGACCCCTCCCTGCCCCTCTCTGGGTCCTGGGATGGAGAAGGGAGGGATTAAAAGGCTCTTTTGTGTTTTGAGGGTCCTGGGGAGCAGCCACAGCCCCTAACCCCCCACTCACCTGCAGGGAGATCAGCAGCACCTCCCACTCATCCTCCCACAGCTGGGCCACGGCTGACATGGCCACCACTGTGGAGGCCAGGATGACCACCAGCCCCATCTGGAAGGAGGGAAAGTCACCAGACAGAGGGTCAGAGCAGGTGTGAGAGTCTCCAGTGCATCTCAGCAAGAAGCTAGAGGGAGAGACTGAGAGGCAGACGTGGAAGATGGAGAGAGCAAGTGGCAGGCGGAGCAGGGAGAGGGAAGGAAGGACAGAGAGGCATGGGCTGAGGGGAAGTCAGAAGCAGGTGGAGATGGGAGGCAGAGGCTGGAGGGGACGGGCAGACCTAGGGAAGGACAGCAAAAAACAGAAGGAGAGAGGGTGGAGAGAAGACGAGAGGAGGCGGAGCTGTGAGGAGGGAAGACCCTCCCTGCCCAGCCTCCCAACAACCTTGGGCATGACCAACCATGAGACCCACTTGCCCTGGCAGCAGGGGCAGGAGGCTAAGGAGCTGGTCCCCTGCAGCTCAGGCTTGCACTCTGGCCTGGGCTCATAGCGGCACTTAAGGCGGAAGCAAGTGGTGAAGTTGAGCCCACCATTCCCTCGCCAAGGCTGCCCTCTGCCCTGGCTTCTGGCTTCATTGTGATAGGGAGGCTGACCTCCCTGCAGCCTCCCAGAGAAATCGAAGAGCACGGCTCTGATGGAGGACTGGGTGGCACCTTTAAGGAACAGAGATCTTTAGGGACAGACAAGCTCTGCAACCCTGAAACCAAGTGAAACTAAGCGAAGACTTCCAGCTCCTCAGCCTCCAGGCCCCCACCTTGAGCCCTAGTTCTCGTTCTGCCCACCCGCTCGCCCCATACCCTAGGCCTGCCTCCCTGATCCCAGGCCACTCCTCTGCCCCAAAGGTCCTCACTCACTGTAAGGGCCAGTCAAGGCCACCACACACCGTCCCTCTGGCTTCTCTGGACTCATCTCCCACCCACTCTCTGGAGGCCCGTCCTCCTCCCACGCTCCCCCCCCCAACGTCTCCCTGCAGCCAGTCTCTCTGCCAGCAGGGTCCTCACCCCCTTTCCCCCGCTGCCATGTCTTTCCCAGAGGCAGAAGCATCCTGAGAACCCTCTGACGGTTGAATGAGAACCGAGCGGAGTTTCTGGACAGCGAGGGCAGCCACAGAGCCCATCCATCTTTGCTCCCTGCCAGGCAGGGAAGATTAATACTTGCTTGGGATTAAGTTTCCTTTGGAGGCTTGTCATTCCAGCCCATCAGCCTGGAAACAAATGTTCCCACAAGAAGCAGGAACAAGGCTGAGATAGGGGAGGGCCTTGATAGGCTGTGACATGCCGGCTGGGGACGGAGAAGGGGCAGACACACTGGCGTGCCCGGGTCTGTGGGAGGCACTTCATGTCATCCCTGGTTTATTCTGCCACATCCCAGCGGAGGTATCATCTTCATTTTAGGCACAGGGAGACAGGGATCAGAGGGGCTTCCTTGACCACAGAGCTTTGAAAGAGCAGACCCAGAAACAACCCCTTCTGCCCGTCTCAGAGGTTGTGCTCTTTCGGGGGCGGGGGAAGAGGACATCATGCTGCTGTCAGGGAGGCCAAGGAGCCTCTGGGGGGGACTCACAAGCTCCTTATAATACCCCCTCTTCCCTGCTGCCCCAGGCACGCATCTGCCCCCTAGTGGTGGTTGTGGGAGGAGGCCCCGGAAACGGCAAGTGTCTCTGAAGGGTCATTTCTGAGGGGCTTATTACAATACCTAACTGCTAGGGAAACAACTTGCAATAAAGCTGGTTCCCACAGTCCTAATACAATTAAAAATGTGATTATGTGTAGCCTTACAGTTGCTATGGCAGTAACCATCAGGTTCTGCTACTACGGAGTGTTCAGCGTCTGGGATGCCCCCTACACCAACCACATCCTTAAGCCACAACAAGAGCACAGATGCCCAACGATGCGACCACCATTGCCACTGTCCCTTAAACCTGACTGAGAAGGACAAATCCCACCCCGGAAGCCCACTGTCTTCCACTGAGACAGCGACCCCAGCTTTCTGTCCTGAGGGGCTGAGGCTTTTGACAACAATGGGAGAGTAGAGGATACAACAGGGCTTTCATTCCTTTGCTGCGTCTTGCCTGGGTGCCGGACTGAGCAGAGTTGGGACCCAGGGGAGCTGGAACCCAGCCTTGCAACAGCTGGTCTCTCGGGAGTGTCTGACCTCTGGGTTCTATGGTCCAAATGGCAGACAGTCGACCCACGGTTAAGGACCACACTTGAGTCACACTCCTCCGTCCAATCGTGACTCTGCTGCCTAATGGAGAGGCTGACCTCTCCAGAGATTTTCCAGAGCCATGAAGTGGGGATGAGGCGTGCCCACACAGAAGTAGTTTGGGAGGACGAATGAGAAAATGCAAGAGAAGTACTCAGGACAATGGCTGGCACCAAAAGGAAATGCTTACTGAATCTCGGTGGTATCATTTTAAAAGCTGGGCATGCTACCGAATGAACAGAATTATTGTGGGGACTAGATGAGATTCTGCGTGGGCAGTGCCTGACACGTATAGTCAGCACCCAGTAATTGCTAGGCATTGCCGCTGCGGTAAACACAGAGCCGGGCACACAGGAAGCTTTTGGTGAATGTGCCCTCCTTGCACTGAAGTGGGAGGGATAGAGGCTAGACACCAGGAAGAATTGTGGGGCCAGGTCTGGAGAAAAGTCTTAAATTCACCAGGAGAGCTGATGATACAGACAGGAAGAGACAGTAGGCAGATGCTGACAGAGCCTGGGCTGGAGGCAGAAGCATTAGGTCCCAGCTCAGCCCGTAACTTGCTGTATGGCCATATGGTACCCAGGGCTCCTCTCTGGGGTTTAGGCTAGGTCACTGACAGATGCTTCCTCGTGCAGGTCTTGGGCAGGGGGCTATGGGAGAGGAGTCAGGAGGGACTCAGGAGTGGTGTGGTGTGCTCAGGGGACAGGATAGCCATGGGAAGTGGGAGTTAGGACCAAAGCACCTTACAGAGGCAGCCTCTGAGTGGACTCTGGATGGTGTGGGGGGCAGGAAGGGGCGTCTCAAGAAAATGGCCTCCTGTTTACTGGGAAGCCCCCAAGAACCCTTCAACCTTCTTCCTCACCTCCTGGGCACTCAGATTTCTCTGAAAGGCTCACCTAGGAGGGATTTCTGGAAAATAGGAGCTTTGGGTAGACAGGGAAGAGGAGGACAGGCCTCACGTGGGCACCCAGATCCACCCATAGCACCCAGCCTGCTGCAAATGACTCTCTCTGGTCCAGCCCTGAACACCTCCATGTTCCCCTCCTCAGGATTAAGGGGCGTCAGAGACTCTCAAAATAAAGCTCACGATGAAGACATACTATAAAACTGCAGTCTTTAAAGCAAGACAGTACTAGTATAAAAGACCAGAGAGGTAAATAAAAATAAGTTAAAAGTTTAGAAATAGATCCAAACACATAAAGAAAGTATAGAACAGGCACAGTGGCTCATGCTTGTAATTCCAACACTTTGAGAGGACAAGGCAGGAGGACAGCTTGAGCCCAGGAGTTCAAGACCAGCCTGGGCAATCTAGGAAGGCCTTGTTTCTAGTTAAAAAAATCAGCTGGACATGGCAGTGCATGCCTGTAGTCCCAGCTACTAGGGATTGCTTGAGCCAAGGAGGTCAAGGTTGTGGTGAACTGTGATCATGCCACTGCACTCCAGCCTGGGTGACAGAGACCTTGACTCAAAGAAAAAAGTGGCTTCTCAAATGAGTAGAGGATGGATTCCTCAGTAGAGAACGCTTGGATGCCATGTAAAAAGAACATAGTAAGATCTCACTCTGTCCCAAAATAACTTCCAAAAAGATTCTTTAAAATATTAAATGTTAAAAAAGTGGAAATATATAAGTACCAAGTGATATCACAGATACATTTTTATAATCTTGGAGTGGGAAAGATCTTTCTAAGTCTGACACGAAACCCAGGAGCCATAAAAAGAGATGACAGATTCAAATACTTAATTTTAAAAAAATCTCTATGGTAAAAATACAATGAGCAGAGTCAAAAGACGAATGCCAAACTAGGAAGAATTATTTGCAGTTCATCAGTCAAGGGGCTAATTTCATCTATAAAGAGTTCCTGCAAATGAAGAAGCAGAAAGCAAATCCCACAGCAAAAAGGGCAAAAGATGTGAAGAGACGGTTTATAGAAAAGAAAATAACAAGTGACTCAAACATGTGAAAAATGTCGAATCTAACTCAGCATGAGGAAAATATGCAAATGAAATTACGGCGAGGTACCATTTTTCACCCATCGAATTGGCAGAAGTCAAGACATCGGCCAATGTGTTATGGGCAAGGGTGTTTTATAGGCAAGGGCATCCACTGCAGAGAGCATGAATCAGTGGCACTTGGCAAGAGCGACATGATGAAAGTACACATTCTTTGCATAGAAATCCTCTCCCAGGCCACTGCCACACTGTTCTGGAAAAGACTGAAGGCAACTGGATGTTGATGGGCCTGTCAGCAGGCGACTGGCTAGATACCTAGGGACTCAGGGAATATCCAGATTTCCTATTCAGGCATCAGAAGTAAGGGATGGACACCAACTGGGACATGCTTTTTTTTTTCCTTTGAGACAGAGTCTTGTGCTGTGATCCAGGCTGGAGTGCGGTGGCGTGATCATAGCTTACTGCAGCCTCAAACTCCTGGACTCAAGGGATCCTCCTGCCTTGGCCTTCCAAATAGCTAGGACTTCAGGTACACACAACTACATCCAGCTAATTCTTATTTTATTTTTTCCCATAGAGACAAGGTCTCACTAATGTTGGCCAGGCTGGTCTCAAACTCCTGGCCTGAAGAGATTCTCCCACTTTGGCCTCTTAAAGTGCTGGGATTACAATGTGAGCCACCACGCCTGGCCAAGTGGGACACTCTGAATGTACTGAGGGGAAAGGAACTCGAAGAATCTTGTTAAGGTGCAGAACAGAGGGTGTAGTAGGCGACTGTTTGTGTTTAAAGAAAAAGGAAAAAAAGAAATGCATATGTACATTTGTATGTGCTTAAAATATCTTCGGAAAGATAGTAAGGAGACTTTCTTTGTGTACATTTTTGTGCCTTATGAATTTTGAGCGATGATAATGTATTACATGGTCAAAAATTAGTTAAAGCAAAAACAAACAAAATGAGAATAAGAATTACTTAGAACCTTGGAGTCAAATTAGACAGAATCTTGGAAAGAACAGAATTTCCAGCCCATGTTCGAATACTCTGAGATCCAAGGAGCTCCCTCCCTCTTGGTGTGGGGGTCCGGCCCTGGGTCAGCTCTGCCTGGAAGGGCCTGGCTCATGCTGAGATCTCACGGGAGGGGGCGGAGGGGAGAGGAAGGCAGGACTGGTGCTCCGGAGTGGGGGGGCGGGTAGCACCAGCATGGATGGCAGGATCTGACTCCCTGCATTGATCTGCCACCCAGCTAGTAGGGCTGGTTCAGTGGCCCTACAGGTCTCTCCACTAGGATCAAGCAGGTGTGACCTGACTTGCTGGGAGTCAGGCATGGCCCCAGGAGGGGACCACAATGTGTGCCTGCCCTACCTGGGGTGCCAGCTGGTACAGTTCTTTCAAGTGTCAGCTTTGTAGTGGGAAGAAGGAAGCAGTTCATGGAGGGGCTGGCGGAAGCCCAGATCCCAGGACAGATGAGGGAGAGACCAGGGCTGTTTACTGCTCTTTACCCCTCAAAGACTTCAGTCACTGGGCTCACTCTGAGCTCCAGACCCCTGTCATCAACTGACCTCGGATATTCCCTGGATGCTCACAGGCACCTCCCACTCCACACAACCCAACCTGAGCTCACCCCGGGCACTCTTCCTGTTCCATGCCCCCCTCTAGCGAGAAATGAGCCTCTCCCCTGAGTCACTTGACCCATCTCCTGGGCTTGAGGCTCATGGTTTTTTCTGGACATTCTTTTTTTTTTGAGATGGGATCTCACTCTATCACCTAGCCTAGAGTGCAGTGGCACAATCACCACAGCCTCAATCACCTGGGCTCAGCTTCCCAAGTAGGAAGGCATGTGCCACCATATACAGCTGATTTAAAAAAAATTTTTTTGTAGACATGAGATCTTGCTATGTTGCCTAGGCTAGTCTCAAACTCCTGGGCTTGTCTACAGCCAAACCTCTCTGAACACGCCTGATCCTGTCAAACTCCTGGGCTCAAGCAATCCTCCTTCCTCAGCCTCCTAAAGTGCTGGGATTACAGGTGTGGGTCACTGCACCTGGCCTGTTTCTGGACATTTCTGCCCCTTCCCAAATGGCGGGCCCACTCTGAACTCTGAGAAAAGAGATGGCCCAACCCTCGCTCCGTGGCCCAGGGGCTCCTGGGAGGGAGGGGCTCTACCCTGGCCAGATTTGTGCCATCTCTGACCCACTGGGAAAGAGCTGGCATCAGAAACAGATTCGGCACCATGCACGCAGTGAACGGTGAGAGAGTGAAGGCACTGGAATATGCAAAGCCTGCCTGGGCACCCCGAGCAGACACAGGGGACGGGGGGTGGCGAAGGCTAACTCGGGCTTGCAAGGAGCACCTCGACTGGGCAGGTCAGGGTCGGGAAGCCAGATGGGAATTGGCAACACGGACGCTCAGATGTGTAGCAGAGGAGGCTGCAGAGGGTGGGGGGACCCCTGAGAGAGAAGCCTGTGAGGGGAGGGACCAAAGAAGGGATCCAGAGTAGGCAGAGAGAGAAGGCAGAGCAAGGGGCTACAGGGAGAGCAGAGGCAGACACGTTAGGAGGGCCTGAGCTGCCCCATGAAGCAGAAGCTAAGGGTGATAGGGGCTGGGAGACATTGGCAGGAGCTGGACCATGCCTGGTGGGGGGGTTTGGGTCATCCTGGAAGCAGTGGGACTGGTGGAAAGGCAGTGAACTGGGGAATGCCATCGTGGATCAGGGCTTTCAAAAGAGCTCACTGAAGAGGTAAGAGGAAGGGGAGACCAGAGGCAGGGCCAGCCAGAGGGTGGGCGCTACAACATGAGCTGGGGGCTCTGCTGGGTTATCACATGGCTGCGGGGCTGGGACCCTGGGTCTTCTACTTGCAGACTGGGAGACCTCAGGCAAGTTACTTCATCTCTTTGCACCTCCATTTTCCCTACTGCAAAATGGGATGATAACAGCACCTACATCACAGGATTGCTGTGAAGGCTGAGTTAACATGAGCCAGGTTGAGACAATAGAGCTCAGCATTAGCCATAGAATGAGGATAGTCATGATCCAGGGGAGGGGTGAGGTACTGCGGCCTCAAGCCTCTCCTCCCCTCTCCCAGCCGTGGTGGAAACAGCCCTTACCTTGTGCAGCCAGTGCAGGTTCATCTGCTGCCCCACGGCGATGTGACATAGTGCCAGGACCTGGGGAGGGGCCCACAGGGTGACAGTCAGGCCCGTGTGTGACCAGAAGGCCTTGCCAGTACTCAGACACCCTGCTCCCACTGCTGCACTGGGCCTGACCCAAGCAGAGTCAGCAAACCATCTTTCCAGGTGTTGGAACTGCTCTGTCCTGCCCAGCCCAGTGCAATCCTGGTCTCCCTGCAGTTTATTCCAGGACCCTAGGCTCCTCCTTCTCTGGGATTTCCCCTCAGGGGATTTCCCCGCTGGGCAGGGTGTGGTGGCTCATGCCTGTAATCCCAGCATTTTGGGAGGTGGAGGCGAGAGGTTTACCTGAGCCCATGGGTTCGAGACTAGCCTGGGCAACATGGCAAGACCTTGTCTCTACAATAAATCAAAAAAATTAGCCGGGCATGGTAGTGCACGCCTGTAGTTTCAGCTACTTGGAAGGCTAAAGTGGAAGGGTTGCCTGAATTCAGCAGGTTGAGGCTGTGGTGGCTGTGAGCATGCCACTGCACTCCAGACTCTGACTCAAAAAAAAAAAAAAAAAAGAGGCCATTGGGTCCTGTTGCACTTGGACTGTACACTTTAATTCATCAAACATTTTAGGGGTCCCAGGATTCTGCTTTGTTTTTTGTTTTTGAGTCGAGCTCTTACTCTGTCATCCAGGCCAGACTGCAGTGACACAGTCGCAGCTCAGCACAGCCTTGAACTCCTGGGCTCTGGTAATCCTCCTGTCTCAGCCTCCTGAGTAGCTGGGACTATTAGGCACAAGCCACCACACCTGGCTGATTTTTTTATTTCTTGTATCAACAGAGTCTTGCTATGTTGCCAAGGCTGGTCTCAAATCCCTGGGCTCAAGCAATCCTTCTGCCCCGGCCTCCCAAAGTACTGGGATCACAGGTGTGAGCCACCACACTCAGTGAGGCCCAGGATTCTTTTTTTTTTGAGTCAGAGTCTCACGCTGTCACCCAGGCTGGAGTACAGTGGCATACTCACGGCCACCACAGCCTCGACCTGCTGAACGCTGGTGATCCTTCCACCTCAGCCTTCTAAGTAGCTGGAACTACAGGTGCATGCTACCATGCTCGGCTATTTTTTGATTTCTTGTAGAGACAGGGTCTTGCCAAGTTGCTGGGGCTGGTCTCAAACTCATGGGCTCAGGCAATCCACTCGCTTCAGCCTCCCAAAGTGCTGGGTTTACGAGCCACCGAACCTAGCCAGGGCTCTAAGATTCTGAAACAGACTTGAGCCCTGTCTCCAAGCAGCCCCCAGTCCAGCATGGGGATCAACCCACGTCTCAGTGAGTAGAATATTGGGAGCAGGAACCCGAAGCAGAAGTCCCTAGAAGAGGAAGTCTACAGTGGGCCCCGACAGCCGGGATGGCTCCCACTGGGTCAGGGGGAGGGGGCAGCCGAAGGAAACTGGCAAAAGCAAGGTGACCTCCCACTTTGGGAGACCTAGGCCTCCAAGGAACTGCAGCCCAAGAGGCCATGGGCAAAGTCAGCTTCCCATTTAGGTCAGGGCGGCTTCCTCGATCAGCCCAGCACAGGCCACGACTCCCTCCCCTGGGAGCAGGGCCACCTGCCCTCCAAGACAGTCCCACATACCAGGAGGCCCGCAATGTACGTGAAGGCGGCGGCTGTGGTCACCAGGATGGGCACCGGCCAGTCGCTCCAGTAGCCCATGCGGTTGTAGAGGTACCTGCCAGGAGGAGAGGGGCAGGGGTCAGACCTCCCTGGGCCACCTCCCCTGACCCAGGAGCAGGATTAGTCTCCGCTCTCACACAGTGCATGGACCACAGGCCGGGCTACCAAGCCTGTGCTACCAGGCCCTGTCCACCTAGTAATGACACTCAGCATTTGCCCGGTGCTCTGTCACAGCAGATGCCTGGGGACCAAGATGTGTAAAGAAGAAAACAGCAATGTCCCATAATTCTACTGCCCAGAAGCAACTATGACCTAGATGGTACTGAATTTCCTTCCTGTGTACATTCATGTAAATAGCAAAGCCAGGACACCACTGCATACAGCAAGGTGGCCAGGAGCATGGGCTGTGGGGTGAGGCACAACACATGCTGTTCAAATCCCACTCTGCCTCTGACCAGCTTGTAGGGCCCTGTGGAGGTGACAGGATTCACTGACTCTAAGGTGCTATTGATGTGATTTCAATTTCAATGTGAAAATATGAACACTGGGAGTATTAGACTTGATCAAATGTAATATCTGACTTCTCTCAGTCTCAGTTTCCTCACCTGTAGGGTGGGGATAAGAAGAGAGTGCCCACTGGGCCTGGTAGCTTACGCCCCTATTCCCAGCATTTTGGAAGGTTGAGGAGAGAGGATAGCTGGAGTCCAGGAGTTCAAGACCAGCCTGGGCAACATAGCGAGACCTTGCTTCTACAAAATAAAAATTAAAAAATTAGCTAGGCATGGTGGCACGTGCCTGGAGTCCCAGCTACTTGGGAGGCTTAGGCAGAAAGATCACTTCCGGGAGGCTGAGGCTGTAATGAGCCATGACGGCGCCACTGCACTCCAGTCTGGGCAACAGAGTGAGACCCTGACTTTAAAAAAAAAAAAAGAAGGAAGCGCCTTTCCTCAGGGGGGTCACGTGAGGATGAAGTGAGGAGAGACAATTGTAAGCACTCAATAAACCCTCTTCTCCACACAAGCATTTACTCATGCCTGTACAAATAGGAAATGAGATTATTTTAAACAGCCACATGGTCTTCCATTGAATTCAAGTACCATATGTAGCCAGCTTCCTACTAATGGCATTAAAGAGCTTCCAGTTACTTGCTATTATAAATTACCATAAAAATGAAGATTTTGTCCACATCTTTCTGTATTTTTAATTATTTCCTGAGGATAGATTGCTACAAATAGAATGATAGGATCAAGGGGAATAAACTGTTTTTTTAAAAATGGGGTCTCACTCTACTGCTCAGGCTGAACTTGAACTCCTGACCTCAGTCCTCCCGCCTCAGCCTCCCAAGTATCTGAGATTGCAGACACATGCCACTGTGCCTGGCGGAAATGAACTTTTTAAGGCACCGGATATATACTAATCGGTTGCTCTCCAGAAAAACTGAAACACCCACATCCTCCTTGTGCAACTGGGAAAACTGAGGCTTAAAAGAGGCAGCAACTTGCTTAAGTCCATTAGAGAATCTGAGCCTGTGCCAGGCAGTTTCCACCTGTTGCCATCTAAGGCAGGGGGCTGGCAGGAGACACCAAGAGGACTCCATGGTACATCCACCCTTCCTGACACTCCTCCCTGGCCCTAGCCCTCAGAATATAGGGCAAAATCGACGGCCTGGAAGATCACCCTACAGTTGAGAAACGGAGGCTAAAGAGAGGCGGGACTTGCTCCTGGTAAGTACTGAAAGATGTTCTGGTCCCATTTGTCTCTCGAGTGTGACCACTTTTGGCAGGGAATCCCCCAGGACAGCCACAGCCCAGACGGCTCTTCCTGTCCAGTACTGATCACTATGTCCTCTGACTACATGATTCTGTCCCCACAGACTCTTGAGACCATCAGGGCTGGGCCAGCACGTCCTGAACCCCAGCACTGCCTCCAAGAAACTGAGGGGTCAGGCTGAAGGAGCTGCAAGTGTCCAGACATCCCCAAGTCCCAGGAGGCCTTCCCTTGTAGCATCCATCCTCTGCTTGAATCTCCCAGTGACAGGGAGTTCACTCTGGGCAGAGAGGGTGGCTTATGGGCATCATATAGTCAGTCAGGCTCGAGTCCTCATCCCAGATCTGCCTGCATCTTGCTGTGTGACTTTGGGAAGTCTATTTGACTCTCTGAGTCTGGGTCTCCTCAGACTGTCTTCAATACAAGTTTTTGGCACTGTCTGGTCCTGTGGCCTCTCTGGGCCTCAGTTTCCCCATCTGTACTCCATGGGAGAAGACCCGATGAACCTCCAGCAGCAGAACTGTTCAGGTCTGCAGCCAAGGGCCAACAGCAGATGCTCCCATTTACTCTTGATACTGTCCGCACTTTGGACACCTGCAAAGATGAATAATTGATCTAAGGCATTTAATAAAGGCCAGCGGCCACCTCTGGGACTTGCCGGGGTTCCGACTCATCTTGCTGAGCTGCCACGGGGCAGGGCAGGATGTCGGCGTGTCCCTCATGTGCTCATTAATGACAGAGGCACAGTCCTACCCTGTGCAGACTCCAGGAACGGAGTCTCGGGATCATCTCCGAACCCTAGACCACAGCCCTCCAATACCCAGATCCTGGAAACCTCCAATTCTAGTGTCAATGCTGCCTTCCAGCTGGAGCTCTGGGATCCTGGGAGGCAGCTCTCACATGCAGGGGGCACCTGAGCCCTCTCACATCCATCATCTCGTTTCGTCCTCAGAGAGACCTGATGAGGTCACAGTTCATTTCACAGGAGAGACTCAAAGAGCACCGGAGACTCGCTCACAGTCACAGTGACCTGAACATCTCATCAACAGGAAGGAACAGCACTGGGAGGGGAGCGAGGAGGCTGGCCCCAACCCTGTCCCCAACCAGCTGGGTGACCTTGGACCTCAGTTTCCACACTCATCAATGGAGCCCAGGATCCCTTCCCTCCTCCCATGGCCTTCTACTGTCTAACAAAAGGCAGGCAACGAAGGGAGCATGAGGAAGGCACATGTGTCCCCTGTACCTGCCTCAGGCAGCCCTGCCTGTGGACCTGAGATGCCCACAAAGGACCGTGGACTGTCCCAGAATCACAGCAACTGTCAGCCTGTCCAGGGTCCAGCCACAGGAGTTGGGAGGCCTGGGGTCTACGGCTACCTCCTTGGCAGAAGCTTTGGTCTCTCTGGGCCTTGGATTTCTTATCTATGGAGGGGGTGAGCAGAGGCCCCAGGCCCATGCTGAGCCCTGCCCCAGACTCATATTCCTACTTTCCATGACAGCAGCACCAGGAAGGAGTACCCTGTTTTCCCCAGCAGCTTCAGCTCCCGCCAAGCCTCTGTCCTTTTAGGCTCCGCCCCACTTCAGGAGACCAGAGGTGCAGGCAGGGCGTACACCAATGGATCTCCAAGGAGACCAGTGGCTGAAGCTCCCGGGTTCCAATCCCAGCCATCCTTCAAGATCAAGTTCCCATGTCTCCTCCTCCAGGAAGCTTTCCCTAAGGGCATGGATCTCTCTTTGTCTCTTCATCTTTCTTGCCAGCCCCCACTTCCCACCCACCATCTCATACCAGCCTCCTCATCAAAGCCCTGGAAGTAGGCAGGACAGGGGCCGTCCAAGGCCACACAGAGAACCGGTGACGGAACTTGAAGGGCCAACTGGAGAGAGGCTCAAGCCCGAGCCGCCAGGTCCCCGCCACCCAATACCTTGGGCCCAGGTGGCGCGTCCCTCCTCCCTGCCCACTGCCCTACTCACCAGTTGAATTCATCATAGTCATTATGGACTTCCCACCAGAAGTAGAGCCAGGTAAGTGTGAGGCCGAAGGTGAAGGTGAGGAGCAGGAACCAGAGGCGTTCCCACTGCAAGAGCAGAGGAGGGGATGGTTAAGTGAAGCCCCAGGCCACCTCCCACCAGAAGGTTCTCCTCTCCCATGCTCTCACAGCCAAACTGCCAGGCAGGAATCACTGCCCTCTGCACTGGTAGGAACTGAGGCTCCAGGAGAAGTGACCTGTCCTACGTCACACAGCCCTCTTGGGCTACCTCCTCTGCAGAGGCCTTGGTCTCTCTAGGCCTTGGATTTCCGGTCTATAGAGGGGGTGAGCAGTGGGGGGACTGGAGCAAGTCAGGGTCCGTCCCAGAGTGGTGTGCTTTTTGCTGCAGCCTGAGGTCCTTTTAGCGTGTGCCGGTCTCCCCATTCTGGTGATGGCCCCCAGAAGCAAAGGTCGCATCCGTCCTAAAGCCTTCACACTGGCATACTGCTCTGCAGTCTGTGAAGTCACCTCCCTCACTCGTTCCATCCTCACACATGTCTACAAAGTGGAATTGTTCTTTTCCACCAAAAAAAAACACTGAAGCCCAGGGAGGCCAAGCGACTTGCCCAAGCCACACAGTTAAGTTAGTGGAAGATTAAGGACAGGTGTCCTGGTCCGTGGACTTGAAGAAGTGCGATGTTCTGTCACCGCCGCTGGGCGCCAGCCTCTCCCTCAGTGTTGGGTCAGGTCCCCTGTGTCTCCAGCCGGGTTGGGGCAGGGAGGTGGGGACACTGACACCGCACTGGTGCTTCCTGAGGGGCCAGTCCAGAGGTCTGCAGGCGCTTCCGCCTGGGCCCTTGGGTTTATCCCTGCTTTTATCCACCGCCTTATCTTGGAAGCACAACAAGCTTGGAATATCCTGCATCCTGGGAAGCTGCTGAGGTCATCAGAACAAGTCAACAACCCTTGAGGAGGACCAGTGTGAGAGAGAATCAAGACCACATACCCTTTGAGGGCTGGAAGCCTTGGACACATACCACCTCTGCACTCCCTGCTGTCCTGATGTCTCCTGCACATGACAGCAAGCCCAGAGCTATGTTTCTATTTTCTTTTTGAGTTGGGGTCTTGCTCTGTTACCCAGGCTGGAGTGAAATGGCATGATCATAGCTTACCGCAGCCTGGACCTCCTGGGCTCAAGCCATCCTCCCTCCTAAGTCTCCTGAGTAGGTGGGACTAGAGGTACATACCACCACACTCGGCTACTTAAAAAAAATTTTTTAGACCATGTGCGGTGGCTCATGTCTGTAATTCCAGCACTTTGGGAGGATGAGACGAGAGGATTACCTGATCTCAGGGGTTTGAGACCAGCCCAAGCAACATGGCAAGATCTCATCTCTATAATAAATTAAAAAATCAGCCGGGCATGGTGGCACATGCCTATGGTTCCCGCTACTTGGAAGGCTGAGGTGGAAGGATTGCCTGAGTCCAGTAGGTGGAGGCTGTGGTGGCCATGAGTGTGCCACTGCATTCCAGCCTGGGTGATAGAGTGAGACTCCAACTCAAAAATAAAAATAAAAATAAATTTTTTTTTGTAGAAGCAAGGTCTTGCAATGTCATCCAGGCTGGTCTCGAACACCTGTGCTCAAGCAATCCTCCTGCCTCGGCCTCCCAAATGCCGGAATTATAGGCGGGATCTACCACGCCTGGCCAGAGCTTCATTTCTAGCCCACCCCAGTTTGCTCTCTTCATGGCTCCCCACTGCTCAGCCAAGCAGAGGGGTCCTTCTGGGTGCGGCCCCCTGACCCCTCCCGCTTCAACTCCTTCAACCAGTTCCCTCAACATGGAAGGGCCACTGTCCCTGGGCTTGTCCTCCAACATTCCCATTCACCTTTCAAGTCAGGTTGAATATCACCTCCTCTGTGAAGCCTTCTCGGACTCCGCCTTGTCACCCTCACGTCCTCCTCTGTGCTCCCATATTGGCATCCCTCTGTCCTTAAACTCATACTGTGTCCCCCAGACAACTGTGGGCTCTGCAGGGACGGGGACAGAGCCTACCTCCACTCCATCAGTACTTTAAGCCTGCAGGCAAGAACATGCAAGAAGAGAAGAGGGGCCAGGTATGGTGGCTCACACCTATAATCCCAGCACTTTGGGAGGCTGAGGTGAGAGGATTGCCTGAGCCTGCAGGTTCAAGACCAGCCTGGGCAACTTGGTGAGACCTCATCTCTACAATAAATAAATTAAAAAATTAGCCAGGTGTGGTGGCACCTGCCTGTAGTTACAGCTACTTGGAAGGCTGAGGTGGAAGGATCATCTGAGCCCAGCTGGTCGAGGCTGCGTTGATTGTGAGTGTGCCATTGCACTCCAGCCTGGGCGACAGAGTGAAACTCTAACTCAAAAAAAAAAAAAAAAAAAAAAAAGAGGAAAGTGTTTGGGAACCACAAATTCCTACACCACTTACCAGCTCTATAACCTTGGGAAATTTACTCAACCTCTCTGACCCAGTTTCCTCCTTGATGAAAGGAGGACAATAATAGTACTTATGCCATGGGGCGGATGGAGAATTAAATGAGATAATACAAGCCAAGCGCTCAGAACAATGACCAGCGAGCCCTTGGTACTCTAACGGCGAGTCTGTGCCTCCCCTGCCTCCCTCCAGCACGCAGGAAAGATCTGCTGATTCGTGACTCGGTACCCACAGGGCACCCACTCCATGCCTCGCCCCACGATCTGCAGTCTGTGAAGTCACCATCACAGGAGGAGGGCCTGTGCTTGGTGGGTCCCTCAAATTGGGTGACTGGTGCTGGGGTGGGCAGCCACCACTCACTGTCACATGTAGAGCCAGGCTGCCTTGCTGAGTCCTGCTCTGAACATAAACAAAGATGCAAAAGTGATAACATCTGGAAGCCCAGTCTTTCCTAGGCTCAGGGGTGGGAAGGGAACAGTTTCTCAGAGAGTAGGCCACTTGTGTCTGCCCCAGCTGGACACAGAGTGGCACAAGCCCCAGCTCTGGGCCACTGCTCGTGAATGGAGAAGCTCTGGTTAGCAGCAGGGCAGGCCCTGTGTCCTCTCAAAGTAGCTGAGCCCTGTCTCCTCAGGACTTCTACGGGAGAGAGAAGGGTGGTGGCTTAATCCTGCTCCCCGTGGCGGGAGCCATGCAGCAGTCCCATGCCGCCACATCTGAACCGGCGCCTTCTCTCAGCACCCCCACCCTGGCTGGCCCAGCACTCAGGCCTAGTCCTTCTAAGAATCCCTCCTGCCACCTCAGATTCTTATCGGCTCACCACAGCCCTTGTTTCCTGCAGAGGACAGCTGGTGAGTCCCTGGGCCAACTTAAACATCTGGGTCTCCCAAAGGGTGGGCCGTGTCCCCCGACTGACTCCCTTCTGATCACGTCATGCTCCAGCTCAAGAGTCTCACTGGCTTGAGCTTCCCAGCAGACATCAAGGCCCACCCTATCTGGCCCAGGCTGGCCTCTGTGCCCGTGGCTCCCACATATGCGCTTTATGCACGTGCACAGAATTACTTCAGCTCTCCCGAAGGTTCTCTCAGGCCCCCAACCCCCACCTTCACACAGCCACATCCTCCATCCAGAAAGCAACCCATCTCTGATCTGTCAGGCAAACCCCTGCTCCTTCCAGAGTGCCCTCCCCGCAAGGGCTGCCCTGTCTCCTGGGATAGACTCTGGCTTCTCAGAGCTCCTAGAACCCTTGCCAGCCATCTCACCAATGGCACCGACCTTATCATTCCAGAATTGTCTCTGTATATGTTGGTCTCTCTATACAAGAGCACCTTGAGACCTGGGTGGTCTTCATACTCCAGGTGGCTAGGGACTTAAGGGAGACTCAATACTGAAATGGTGGGTGAAGAAACACCCTTTCTCAGACCCTGCATGAGTGCACCCACCCAGGAGAGAGTTTACTGGGGCTCAGCACCTGTCCTACAGAGGAGCTTCGTCTTCTCTGGACCCCAAGCCACAGTGCTGGGTGGTCATCTATCCACAGAGATGGCTCTGCCTCCATGAGGGCAAGGCATGTGCGCTTCTGACCAGTAGGCAGGGCTCTGAGAGGGGCTCCAGATGAGGGGTGAGCCTTGACCTGGGGTAAGTCCTGTACCGGGCAATTAGTCTGCAGGCAGAGAGGGTGGAGATTCTGCACAGGTGCTGGGAAGATGTCCTTGGTAAGGTGTGACACAGGACGCAGGGGCAATGCTGGCAGGTGACCAGTAAGACCACAGGTGTCAGGAGGGCCATGGCAGCCAGGGTGCTGTGCACCAAGGGCTATTTCCTTTCAGTGGGGCAGAACGGGACAGGGCAAAAATGAGGGGCTGCAGCCCCCACCCCTGGGAGCCAGCTGATCCTAGAGCCGGCAGGTGGGTGAGACTCCCAGGCATGGAGGAACCAGGAACCCCGTGATCAGAATGGGGCACGAGCTGGGGTTGGGATGACCTGGGGATGAAAGCTCTGGGACTGGCAGGCGAGGCCACAGGGAGCCATAGATGAAGATGAAGAGGCCCCAAGGGGTGAGGGGAGTGAGGCAGTGGGGGGGTCAACTCTGAGAACAATCAGAGGAAAGCACTGAATGGCAGGGCTGGAAAAAAGGGAAGGGGAAGGCGGGGAAGTGGCGGAGGAAGTGGCCGGCGGGGCTGCTCCTCTGATAAAGACGCTCTGAGCGGCACTAATGGTCCTTGTTGGGTGCATTTCAGCAGAGAAAGGCCTGCGCCCACCCATTAGTCAGCCAGTCCAGATGCTCCCGGCAAAGAAACCGGGCATGATCCCTGCCTGACGCCACAGCCACAAAGAGAGGGCTTGCCTGTCAGTTTCTCATGGTCTGCACAATGCCAGGGGTTGTTTCTTTAGGGCCATCTATCCTGTCACACTGAGGCTCAGAGAAGGACCCCCATGTTCAGCTGGGCAAACAGGTGCCCACCCCCTAAGAAGTGCCACTCACACCGTGGCAACCATAAATGTGCACCTTGATGATGGTTTCTAGCACATGAGGTTGAGTGTCCTAGGGAAGGGGCACCTTTTGCTAATCTACACAAAGCCTCAACACCAGTGAGTGGAGATCATTCAGTGGGTCACCACATGGGGGAGAAGTGGGGATGGG